ATTTTCACCAAGTCTTTCAGAAATACGCTACAAGTGCATGCCACACGTGTCGTAGTATTGAATAACGCTTAGCCGCTCGCTGTATGTAACTACTGTGTTCTTGTACTGCCTTGGCTTCTTCTTGGGGCCGTACTTCGACACCGGCCTTCCGATCTTGGGCAAGCGTTGTGGCTGATCGTCTGTGAGCTCCATGGCACGTTTGTGAATGGCCATGGCGTCTTTCGTTGGCACCATTGCATTTTCGCGCGTAAAAACCTCCGAAAAACATTTCCATCTATAAATTGATATTGTATTACATTTGGGGATATATATAAGGGATTGGAGTTTATTGCCCGCGCGAAGTGACAACTCTGAAAACAAATTCGTTGTGAGTGGTATTATTTATCTAATTTCACGGGTGTCCGACTCGTAATGAATGTCCGACTCGTATTACACTATACGGTACACACACTAACTGTTCATTCCATTTCCAACTATGACTTGACAACATCCAAATGCACGCACACATGTAATGTACAATGGACTTGGTCAAATTATGGGTTTTCTACCCTTGTTCCTAACATATACTTCGAAGTAACATATTGTAAATGAAGCCTCTCTCGGGTCCGGGGGGCGGTCGCGGCACGACGAATCAGCTTGCTTGTCATGACGTGTTGATGGATTCCCAAGCAAAGTGATATACGACTGACCATATGTCGTACTTATGTAAACTCCACGTAGTAATAATATAAATGTTGCATTATTTCTTTTTGCCTTTTTTGCCTCCTTTTTTCTTCTTGGCTGCATATTCCCTGCGGACGACCGACCCGCGCCACAAACTCTGGATGCGAATCGCCGCGTTGTGCAGTTTCTACACATAAGAATAACCTCCATCAGCAATCCACGACACGGCGGCACCTTATGTACCTGGATTTCACGGCGCTCTTCCTCTCGAATAGCTTCAAGGATGCGCTCTTCCTCTTCGATTCGTGCTTGCTCTTCGTCAATCTAGCCCTCACGTCAGCCTGTGTTGTTCGTCGTCCTAGGTAGCAAGTACGTTTTACCTTGACAAAGTGTTCGGACAGGGCCTGGAACTCGTTCAGCTCTGCCGTGTACCGCTCCTGCAACGCGTCGATCTCGGTCGTGACCGCGAGCATGTCCTGGTCATACTTTTCGATCGTGGACGCGACTTCGACTGCGATTTTGCACTTGGCCTTGCGCAGCGCGTCCTCTACCTCTCGATGGTCCATCGTGTTCTTCTGGAGGCAGTTGTTCGTGCTGGGCGTAGGTTTCTAGCAACGCTTGCATTTCAATGCTTTGTTGATCGTACGCTTTTTCCAGGGTTTCTTTGACTTGGGTTTGGATCAAGAGAAGCTCGTTCGCGGTGGCCTACGTACGTCATCAATTAGTGTACGAACATCTCAATCGTTCAACGACCTTGTTGATCGTGGCCAGTTCACCCTTGAGCTTCTGCAGCTGAATGTCCAAATGCGAAATGTCGTCCTCTTTGGTTTTGCGCATGTCGCTCAGCTTGTCTCGTAGCTGCACCAGATCGTCTTCGGCTTGTTTGCGGCGGTTGTACATGTTCTCCATCGAGTCCCGCTTGGACGTCTCGTCTTCCACAGTTTTACTCAGCTGTGAAAACATCAAGTCTGTCAATTCAGACAGAAACCTGATCAACGTCATCATTTCGTCGCCGGGGTCCGCCGGGGACGCCGACGTCGTGCCGAAGAACGTCGTCACCACCACAGGATTCTCCCGCATGTGGCGACATATGCTGCGCACTGCCAACTTTATCTTTCCCAGCACGTCCTCTCGCCGCGCCGCGTTCGCATCCATGTTTTCATACCCGTCGTCCAGCTGCCATAACTGCTCCACTTGGTCGCCGACCGCTGACACCCCGTTCTCATGCAGCCGTCCGATCAAGTGGTAGTCTCGCTTCAGTGGAACGTACGTCAAGTAGTTGAGTCGGTCGAGCATGTCTCCCAGGACCGCCATCACCCGCTGGGACTCGACATTTGTCAACTTGTTCATCGGCCCTGCCGACTTGCCGCTTGGTGAGTTGAAACCGGTGGAGACCGGATAAGGTGTCCGGATAATCTCGTGACCTTTCGTGATTCCCGACATCTTATTGGCGGTTCCAGATTTTTGTCGAAAAGATCGATGGATACCACAAGGTTCGATGAAATTCGTAATGATCTGGCGCATCATCGGCGGCGCCGTCTTAGCCTTCGTGAGGACAGGATCATGCGACGTGACTCCATGGAAGCCATTCACAGCTTTGAGACCAGGACACCTCTTGACATACTTCCCGTTCGACAACGACATGCGGGATGCGTCCCCACAGGGCACGACCAACCAGACCTCGGTCAATATAAATGTGACCTTGTCCCAGCACTCCATCCCCAGCGGAGTGAAAGGCGTGTCGGCATACTTCAATGGAGAGAGCTATGTAGAAGTACAGGTGAACATTAACAGCAACGTGCACCCGGAAGTGACGATGGGAGCATGGGTGTTCATTCCCGAGTACCATGACAACCATGCCCCTCAAAGCAACCCCACAGCCGTGTACGACGCATCCAGGTACGTCGATCAAGTTCCTTTCCTTGGATACAACGTTGAACATACTGTACCTTCGTGCGTCGTTAGTTTTGTCTTGACCCATACGTCGAAAGGGTCGTTTGAACGATCCGTGGGCATCGACTACCGCGGAAAAGGCTGGTGTGCATTCACAGGCGGCAGCAGCACCGTCAACGACAGCAACAGAAACGATGGGATCCTCGGGGGCATGCCGGTGAAAACCGGCGTCTGGAGCTTCGTGGCAGTGTCGTATTCCCGAGAGTCCGTGCTCTTGTATGTTGACGGCGACCGCACGACGACGTCCAAGAATTCTCTGCGGGTAGGCGACTCCGTCCTCCGCATCGGGTCTGGCGGGTACCCCGGCAGCAGTTTCTACGGGTTTATGAACGACGTGTTTGTGTACAACGCAGCCTTGACAAGTGGCGAATTGGACTTTCTCCGCACGACCATGGCCCCGACGCTGCCGCCCGCCGTCGGGTCGGCCGGGTATGCACTGCTGTTTCCATCTTCGTCGTCCATCCAATTCGTGGCCCCATTGCCCATCGACGCTGATCTGACGACGGCGGTGACGCTGGCCATGTACTTATCAGTGGACTTTTCACACGATCCTCGGGTTTGTTTGGGGGCACTGACCTCTGCCACCACGACCCATACAATCTACTTGGACGACCGATCCAATGGACTCTTCAGTGTCGAGGTCGTACAATCCAATGGCCACGTACAGTCGTCGACGTGGACGACGGGGGATGTGGATTTACCCACGCAAAACACGTGGGCGCATCTGGCCTTGGTGTGGACGGCGGGTACACTTCAGTTATATCTCGATGGCCAATTGAAGGTATACATCCAACACATTTTTCGTGTTTGTGTGTTGCTTCTGAACGCTGTAATTAGGGTGCCACAGACTACCCGACCCCTTTGATCCTTCCGCAAGCGATTGGGCAGTTGTGTCTTGGTGCATGCGATGATGGCAGGACGTCATACTACGGCCTCTTGGACGACATATCTCTGTGGAACATAGCTACTTTCGACTTTGTCCACAGGAACCATCCCCTACAAGGCGACGAAGACGGCCTCATCGGGTACTGGGATATGAACTACGAGTCAGACCAGCTGCCGACTCTGGCCATCGAAAGCAAGGCCATGGCCACATCAACCAAGCTCACGGCCGCCATTCGCATCTTGGCATACTCAGACCAAGACACCACCGGTCACACGTTCTTAGCTCCGTCATTCGCCCCCATCGGAGACCACGTCCAAGCCAAAATGAACCTCCCAACCTTGGTGCTACTCAACGTCTCGTACGTTGGACTGCCCCTCCGTCCACCCACAACCATCACAAAACTCCCAGAAAGAGGCACGTTGTTCGCCAGTTGTTGGCCAACGCATTCATTCGATATGACCACGGCCATCACAGCCGTGCCGTACACTTTGCCGTGCCCGCGGGTGTACTTTTTGACCGATCCGGACGACGCCGGCGTCAACTATGCGACACTGGAGTATACAGTCCAAGGCAGTCACGTTCCCCGACTGGTCGTTTTCGACGTGGCTGTGGAACTGATTCAACCGCACTTTTCAATGCAAGACCAGGTCGTCCAGCGGCTCGGCGGGTACCGCTTCGAAGACGTCGACACGGCCGAATACTTGGGCACGGTGGATACGACGCTGGTCATCACGTCATCGCAGGACCACGTGCAAGTGACGCTGCCTCCCTCTGACGTGGCATCCCAGATCACGACCACGTCCATGTTCAGTCAAACTGTCCACCTCCTGGGCGCCCCCGCCGACGTGACGCGCGTGTGTGGCCAAGTGGACGTCCAAACGCCCAGCGCCCATTCGATCTCCACTCAGTTTTCCATTCGAGTGGATGACACTGGTCCGGCCAACGATCCGCTGGCGATGTACTCGCAGACGCTGGGCGTGCAGCTGATCAACACGTTGGGGTCGATTCCGATGCTCGACGTGGTTGAACCCACAGTCGCGTACGTGCAAGGCAGCCAGGTCGTGACCATCACGGCGCACCAACTGCACCCGCGGATGACGTGTCGCTTTGGCAACGTCACCACCCCCGCTACGATCATATCTCCGTCGCAAATACAGTGTCGCATACCTCCATGTCCAATGGGCAGCGGTGGGGGCGTCGTGGCGCTGTCTGTGTTGTTCTTTGGCCAGTTTGAAAGCCGACCGGTGCCGTTCGCGTACGTCCCGCCGATTCAAATCCTCAGCGTATTCCCCACCGTCGTCAGTGCCATGGGCGGGACCGTTGTAACCCTCTCGACAACTACCTCGTTGGACGACGGCTTTCAGTCCATATTTTGCGTGTTTTCCGACCCCCCACTGTTCCACGTGGTAGTTCCCGCCTTGACGGTGACACTGTCGCAGTTGACATGTCGCGTACCGATCCTTCCATCGTCCGTGGTGATGCTGGGAGTATCCCCTAACAACGGAATCGACGTCACCACCGCCCCGACGCCACTGGCCGTAGTCGCCCCTCCAAAAGCCATCTGGTTAAGTCCGTCTTCTGGGCCAGTGGGGGCCTCCAAGTGGGTTCACGTCCACGGTCTATATATGTCAGCCCAGTCATATTGCGTTGTCGACTCCAAGCGCACGACCAGTCGATTCGACTCGCCGACGGGACTCTGGTGCCAGATGCCTCCGTCTTTAGTTGCCCGGACAGTTCAAGTGTCGGCCGCCATCGACGCCACGCCCGTGGAGCTCCCGGCCCTGTCTTATGAGTACCAAGATGGCATCTTGCTGCAGTCCATATCCCCTGCAAGCGGCCCCGTCCGTGGCGGCACCGTTCTCGATGTGTTTGGGTCGCACTTTCGCAACTCCCCAGCGTTGCAATGCCGGTTTGCACTGCTGACGTTGGTCCCAGCAACGTTTGTGTCGCCTTCAGCTATCCAGTGCATTGTTCCGCCACTTTCCGACGCTTCGACGGCCGTTGCCGTGGACGTGACGTCGAATGGGGTGGACTTTTCCGCAAGTCAGCTGATGTTCCGACCTTACGATGAGGTTCATGTCACTCGAACGTACCCGAGCCTTGGGCCACGCAGTGGAGGGACCCTTGTGACAGTGTTCGGTGACCACTTTACCCCGTCGACGCTCATGAGTTGCATGTTTGGAGAGAATGTGACACTGTCCACGCCGGCCAACGTCATCAGCTCCACCATCGTACAGTGCATGTCGCCTAACGTTGTCACAGTCCCAAGAACCAGTAGCACGACGTTTCGACTGAACGTGAATGGACAGGACATGGTCGTGAACCCACTGGTGACGTTTACATACCACGACCCCATTCAAGTGACCCAGCTCAGCGTCACGAGTGGGAGTGTGCTGGGGGGAACCACCGTTCGAGTGACCGGGCTGTTTCCAATGAGTCTCGTGTCGCTAGTCCGGTGCAAGTTTGGGACGATCAGTGTATCTGCGACAGCGTTGTCGTCGACGGAGCTGACGTGCGTCACACCATCGCAACCGACGGCGCAGGTCGTGTCCGTCGCCGTGGCTCTGAACGGCATTCAATTTGAAACCACAAGGTTCGAGTTTGACTATTTCACGGCGCCGTCCATTTCTATGGTGGAACCGCGGTGGGTGCCCCAAGCAACCACGAGCTCCGTCCTCGTGTTCGGCTCGTTTCCGCCGCCGTCCGCCCAGATCAACGTCACATGCCGAGTCGTGGGAAGATCTCAATCGAGTATGGCGGCAATGGCCCAGTGGGTAAATTCGACGGTCCTCTTGTGCGGGCCAGTCCTGTGGAGCACCGTAGGAGACGCCGCCGTGGAGTTATTGTGGAACCAGGACATGGTGAGAACCGGAGCGTCGGCCGTTTACGTGCATCCCCCCGTGGTCGTGACCCGGATATCCCCGTCTGTCATATGGATTGGCGCGACTGGTTCCGTCGACATCGTCGTGGTTGAAGCGACGAATGTCATTCAATTGGACACTTTGGTGTGTATTTGGAACCGCACAATCCCAACACGAGCGCTGTACATGTCCAGTTCGCAAATCAAATGCCCCACGCCGTCGATACTGCCTGTTGGGGACGTCAGCCTCGCCGTGTCGTTGAATGGCGGCCGGGATGTGACCGCCGCCCCCACTCTCTTGTCTGTGCGGCGGGTTCCTATCGTTCTGTCCATGCATCCTGTTCAAGGACCCAGCGGCACGATCGTGTCCTTTTCACTGGCTGAGCCCGTCTCTGCAGCAGCAGAGATGCCTGTACAGTGCCGCTTTGGAACGGCCAATGCGCTCCATCAAGTCCAACTAGCAAATGCCACGTGTTTGCAGTGCACAGTGCCGTTGGGGATGGCAGATGCTTCGGTGGTCGATGTGGTGCTGGTCATGAGCCCTGTATCGCAGATCTTGACTTCGTTTCAGTTTGCAGTGACCAACCCCGTGTCGGTGCTGCAGGTGTTTCCTTTGGCAATTGGTCTCCACGACAACTCGACGTGGATTCAAGTGTACGTCGACACCCTACTGACTTCCACCACAGCGGTTCGGTGCAAATTTGGATCCATCGCTACAGTTCAAGGCCTACCAACGTCGTCACAGGGATTTCGATGTCTGGCGCCGCTTCAGCCCCAAGAGACCTCCTCTCCCCTCCTTATCTCAGTGGCGAACCGTCCGCTCCAAGACACGGGGGTTGTCCTTTCCTTCCAAAAGCAAAGCGTTGTGGACATGCATCCTCTGGTTGGTCCCATATCTGGCAACACGACGCTGACATTCTACGGCTCGGCCTTCCCGCCGGGGCCGTACCAGTGTCTATTTGACAGTCACATCTTTGTTATGGCAACATTGACGCCATCCCCTCTCTCCGCAGTACGAATCCAATGCGCCACTCCAACGACGACGGTGCCCCACAACGCCACCGTGTCACTGACAGGAATCAACGGCCAAGTTCTCGACTCGTTCTCGTTCCAGTACGTGGCACCCCCAAGCGCGACAGCCTTGATCCCAAGCGTCGTTCAAGCGTACAGCCCCCGGCAATCGCTTCAAGTCGTCGGACTCGACTTTCCTCCCACGTTAGTGTGTGCTTTCCAAGTCCGAGACCAGTGGGTATTAGCACGCACTTCGAAAAGCAATTCAACCCACGCCACGTGCACGTTTCCATCACTCACTGCCTCCTCCACGCTGTACCTGTCGACCAACGGCATCGACTTTACGCCGTCGCAGGTGGCGCTGACGGTTGTGCCGCCAGTAACCATCACGAGTATGGACCCCAAAGTGGCGACAGTTTCTGGCCCACTGGTCAACATCACCGTGGTCGGAACCGGCTTGCAACACGTCCAACAGTGTCACATTGGTGCTGACGTTGTGGTCGTGCCACGTATTCTCTCCAACACGTCGCTGGTGTGCCCTCTACCTCGCGACCACGTACCCGCCCAGGTACCACCCACCATATTTAAAACAAGTTGGTATATATGATGATGATTAGTCTCTTGGGTTGATGTCGTTGGAGCTAAGCGTCAACGGAGTGGACGTAACGTCGAGTGGCTTGCAGTTTCGATGGGTTCCCAACTTCACATTGACGTCGTACGCCCCGAACTATGGCCCGGAAGACGGCGGCACGATCTTAACCATCGTCGGTGGGTGGTCCAACTGGCCTACCGACGTCGCAATCTACTGCCACTTTGGCCCGAGTATGGTATCTCGTGGCACTTTGGCGGGCGATCACACGCTGCACTGCACGACCCCTCGGTCCATGCCCAACCAGTCGCGGAACATCGGCGTCTCAGTCGACCGACAGACCGTTCAGTTGGTCCGTCCGCCGTTCATCGTGTATCCGTCGCTTGCTGTCACGCGGGTGGTGCCTTCCTTTGGCAGCGTCAACGGGAACACATCCGTGTTGATTCAAGGCACGAATTTCCAAAACACGTCTCTGTTGGCGTGCAAAATCGGCGACGACGTCGTGCCCGCGCGCTTTGTCAGCGCCACATCCGTCCAACTGACCACTCCTCGACGCTTGGAGTCTGCCGGTGGAGCCGACTTTTACCGCGTGCCTGTCTCTTGTTCGCTCAACGGCCAAGACTATTCAACGTATGTGGGCAGCTTTGAGTACCAACCGGTCGTGGCGCTGCAAAGTGTCTTTCCCAAGCGTGGGTTTGCAAATCCCCCAACAAATCTACTTCTGAAAGGGACGTTTTACGCTACTACATCAGGAGCAGCAGCCACCTGTCGATTCAACCAATCCCAACGTACCAACGCAACGGTCACGTCACCGTCGACTGTGGAGTGCCCAACCCCGTCGCAGATACCCCCAGGAATTGTCTCCGTGGATGTCTCCCTGAACGGTGTCGACTTTACCTCGTCCGGCGTACAGTTTACACTTGATGGTATGTGACAGAGCGTTCGACACTAGGTCTCACGTATGTATGTATGTGTACTAGCCATGCCGACATTCAGTCAAGTGTACCCTGCAAGCGGCCCTGAGTCGGGTGGATCGACGGTGTTGGTGTCCGGAGCGCACTTTCCAAACGCGGTCTTGCTCACGTGCATGTTTGACAACGTCACATCCACCACTTCCGCTGCCACGTGGGTAGATCCATCGACCATTCTATGTGTGACACCGCCGCACGCGCCTGGCCCGAGTGTCCTGCGGATTTCGTTCAATGGCCGCGACTTCTCGACATCGTCGCAGACGTTTCGCTACACGTCGCATGCGACGGTCACAGAGATTTACCCGACGCGAGGCCCTGCGACGGGGGGCACCCTCGTCACAGTCTACGGCACGGGCTTCATCGACTCGCCAGACTTCACTTGCCTGTTTGGGGCGAACGCGGCACCCCCACGGCAAGTCGTGGACTCGACCACGGCGGTGTGTGTCGCCCCGGCGGCTGTGACACCGTTGACGCAAGTGGTGGTGTCCGTGTCCAACTCCCGATTGGACGGTGTCGGCGCATCAGGCGGTGCCGTGTTCCACTTCCATAAGCCCGTGTTTGTGGCCCACATCCAGCCCAAATTCGGCCCCGTGACCGGACAAACCTTGATCCAAGTTACGGGTATGGAGTTCATCCCTCAATCGATATACATGTGTCGATTTCTATGGGAAACAAGTATTGATCTCAACGCCACCAGTATACGCCACGTGCCAGCGATGTACGTCAACTCGACCCACCTCACATGTCGGAGTCCCTCGGTGGCCGCCACAACCAGAAGTACGTGGATGCTCGTGGAGAACGGACTGGCGCTGTCGTTGTGGCCCATAGAGTATGTATTCCACGAGCAAGTGGACTTGGTCCAGATCACGCCGTCCACTGGGTCAATCCTGGGCGGAACCCTCGTTACCATTCTGGGGAACCACTTTCTATCGAGTCTGGACGCCATGTGTGACTTTGGCATGGGCAGGATGACTCGTGCCTCGGTCCTGTCAGTGTCGAAAGTGCAGTGTACGACGCCACGGCACTCCCCGGGGACCTCTGCCGTCCGCGTCTGCCTCAACGGCCTCCAGTGCTCACTGCCGTTTGTCGTGTTTGAATTCCACCCGATTCCAGTATGGACATCGCTGCAGCCGACTACAATTCCTGCGACGGGGGCCACCAACCTCACGCTTTGCTTTCAACCGTCGTCGCACATGTTCAAGTTTACCCACTGCCTCTTTGGCCAACGCCAGTCAGCTGTCGCCTATGTCAATGCAACGTGCGTTAATTGCTGGACGCCGGCGCTCCCGGAAGGCGTGACAGTGGACATCGGGGTATCGGTTAACCGGATCGACGCCCTTCCCACCTCCATGCACGTATTGCCGACAAAACCCTTGGACGTGTCCGGAGTGGTTCCGACGGCCGGCCCTACAACCGGCCACACCCGGCTCGTGATCTCCGGACGCTTCAATACCTCCATGGCGTACGTGTGCCGAGTCGGCACGTCCCCCGCCGTTCCGGCTCTCGCCGTGTCTGGCGACTCAGTGCATTGCTACACCCCTCCGTCCCCCGCAACCGGAAACGTGCCCGTGGCAGTGAGCGACAACGGCGTGGACTTTACCTCGTCGCATTTTCCGTTTCGATATTACGCGGGAATTCAATTGACGTCCATCTGGCCCCCGCAAGGCGCTGAAACGGGCGGGTATTTCGTCACACTGTCGGGAATGAACTTTGAAATGGCTGCGGTTTGTCGCTTCGGCATGGCGCCGCCGACCCCTGTCCAGTGGGAGTCGTCGACCAGAGTACTGTGTCGCGTGCCGCCTCGAAGTCCGGGGACGATTGGTGTGGGTATCTCCAACAACCACGTCGACTTTACGTTTGGGTCGTTTTTGTTTTACGCTCTGCCTCGAGTGTACAGTTTGAACCCCGCCGTGACGTTATACGGGGTTGGTGGGCCGAGCAAGATTACAGTTCACGGTGACCTATTCCAGAACATTTCGACCTTGAAGTGTCTCTTCGATACGACTGTGACCCTGCTCACGTACATCGATGCCAAGACAGTCGTGTGCACAGTGCCCGCTCTATCACCCGAGGCGGCTGGTCTCGTTCGCCTGAGTTTGATCGACTTGGCCACGCATGTTCAGGTCGACTCGCCCGTGGCTATGACGGTCTTGGAAGTTCCAATTGTGGAGAGTGTTGAGCCCACTGTACTTCGTCGCCAGTCGACATTGTCGTCGGTGCTGATTTCTGGCCACCACTTGTATCCGAGTTTAACCTGCGGGGATGACAGAGGTAGCACCAGTCCGGTGGAGTTTCTGTCGTCGTCGCAAGTTCGCTGCAGCGTCCAGTTGAATGCCACGACGCTTCGCATCGTCGATCCAGCGTTAAACTACACGGTGGTGCGTCGGGCCTTGACGTGGTTTGACGATGTGCGCATCGCGGAGATCGTGCCACGTCACGGTCCCTCGACGGGCAACACCCTCGTGATGGTCACGTTGGCGACCCCATTGCCTCGAATGTTAACATCGTTGTCATGTCGATTTGGAACCGACTCGGTGGCTGCCCAGGTGGTTAACCGCACGACCATTCGGTGCGCGTCCCCTGCCAAACCCAGCAGCACCAGAACAGCCCAACTGTCTGTGAGTTTGAACCAACTCGACTTCTCTCAAGGCAGCGTTCCATTTGAGTACTACGACAATGCGCAGATGGTTGGCCTGGAACCACTGTACATTCCGTCAAATGCAGTCAACGCTAGCATAGTACTGCGGGGTGTAAACATCCCCCTGGGTTTGAATCAAAGCCGCCCCGTCTGCTTCTTTGGACCGACTCTCACGAGTCCGGCCGTTGTGGAGTCGAGTGAGATGGTGGTGTGTCGTCTACCTGCAGAACTCGCCATCAAACAGGGAACTGTGTCCGTGGCATTTGCTCCCAATGGTCAGAATCCAGTTGCACCCGACTTGACCCTGACAATATTTGTGCATCCCCAAGTGCTTCAAATCACTCCACTTCGAGGCACGGTGCAAGGTGGAACCACTGTCCGAATCGACTTTGACGCTGTGGTCGATTCGTTTCCCACCATCCAATGCCGCCTTGCGACGGCCACAAGCCCCGCCTCTGTCGTGGGGCCGAGTGCCGTCGAGTGCCGCGTACCTACGTCCACATCGTCACCTGGCCTCATAGTGGACGTTTTCGTGGCTCTGAACGGTCAGGACTTTGTCTTCACTCGGTCGTTTCAATACGTAGACATCCCATACATCACGTCCGTGTCCCCTCCCGTCGGCACCGAATTGGGCGGCTCGACCGTTTCCATCGCCCTTCCTCTAGCCACCACCCTGTGGCAGTCGTCGTTGTACTTGAAATTCGGCAACTCAGAGCCCGTGGTCGCTGCTTTGAACGCGTTTGGCATTGCCACGTGTGTAGTGCCAGCTCATGCCCCTGGTCCAGTGACCCTCCTCGTGTCCGTCAATGGGGTCGACTACCTGCCAGCCAACCACACGTTTACGTACCTCATGGCTCAAACTTCCACCGGTCTCGTACCCGCGTTGGGTCCAGTGACCGGCGGGACGGTCGTGTCCATCTTCGGGACCAACTTTGCCTCATGTGTGGACATGGTGTGTCGGTTCGGTCCGCACTTGGTGGCTCCAGCGGTGTTTGTGTCGGCGCAGCAGCTCCAGTGCACCACGCCGTCCACCGTAGCCCCGTCAGACCACCTCGTCGTATCTGTCTGGTGTGGACTACTCAACCGAATCGTGACACTGGACCAATCGTTCTCGTTCTATACACCCCCACAATTGGTGTCGTTAACACCCCGCCTCGCGCCCACCACCGGCGGGACCAAGCTGAGCATCACCACTAGCCAGCCAGTATCCGTTATCCGACCCAGCAGCGTGTCATGTCGATTTGACTCGGTGGTTTCCACGTCGGCGGTGGTAATCGACGCCACGACCTTGTCTTGCGTGGTGCCGCCCCTTCCCTTGCGCGACCAAGTAGTCGTCGAAGTCTCTTTCAATGGCCAGAACTTCCACCGACTGCCGTACCCGTTGAAGCTGTACCCGTCGATTCAGGTGCAATCCGTCGAGCCGAGTACGATATTTTGGAACACATCAACGACGGTTTTGGTCTCCGGTCGAGGCATGCTCAACACGCCCGCTTTAAGCTGTCGACTGGGAGCAAATGCCATCACGGCGGGTCGATATGTGTCTAGCACCAAGGTCGCGTGTCCAGTTCAAAGTATCGGGTCGGCTTCGACATTGTTCTTGGCAGTATCCAACAACGGGGTGGACTTTGCAGAGCCTACCCTCGCCTTATACTTTCACCCGCAGCCAACCTTGACTGGAATCAATCCAGCCTATGGCCCGGTGGCCGGTCGAACGCTGGTAGAAATACAAGGACTCAACTTTGTGACCTCTGGTTTGACGGTGCAGTGTGTGTTCGGCAACTCGACCGTGGCTGCCGCCGTCTCGAAATCGTCCACGTCCGTGCTGTGCTTATCCCCGGCCGCCCCCGCCCCTCAAATCGCTCTGGTGGGACTTCAATTTGGGATTACATTGACAACAGAATCCATCCGATTCGAGTATATTCCAACGGCTTCCGTGGTATCGCTTTCTCCTGTTAAAGTACCCTTGGGCGTTCCCACTAGGGTTAATCTGGTGGGAGTCCACTTGCAAGGGCCGCTGCAGTGCGAGTTCTTCCAGACTGATTCGACCACTGCTGTTCATGCCGTGGTTGTTTCTGCGGTGATTTCTTCCTCCACATCGATCCACTGCACGGCTACACTGTTCACACCCGGTGTGTACTCAGTTCACGTTGGAGCTATGGGGCAGCCGTCGGCCAGGTCCGACAAAGGAGGCTTGTTGATCACCGTACACCCAACTCCGGTGGTTCAGCGTGTATCGCCGTTGGTTTCCGTTGAACTTGGCGGTGGCAATGTCGTTGTGACGGGATTCAATTTCAGTGCGTTCGACGCCATGTCGTGTTTGTTTGGGGCCCAACCTGTGGTAGCTACGTTTCAAAGCTCCACGCAACTGAAATGTGTCGTCCCAGCGTCGCTCGCTCGTCGCCCACTGACACTTTCCATCTCGATCAACCACGTCATTCTGTACAAAACGCCTTTCTCAATCATACCAACCATGATTCTCGATGCTGTCGACACGCAGTTGTTGCTGTCTGTGGGAAATCCCGTCCAAGTCATACTGACTGGACGCCATTTAGTGCCGAATGTGACCTGCGTCGTGATGACTTCAACCAACACCCTCGAAGAAGAAACACTCGCCTTGTTTTACTCGTCCGAGTCCATTGGTTGCATCGTGCAAGCACAGGTCCCAGGCCAGCGTTTTCTCACTCTCAAGCTGTACGATGCCATTGCGACAACCAGTCCGACCGTGGCGCTTGAGTTTGTGGCCGTTCCAGCCATCGTTGCTATATCCCCACACTCTAGTGACATTCGCGGCGGGTCATCTATCGCAGTGACCGGGCGTGGATTCCACGACGGTGCTTCCCTTTCCTGCCACTTTGGCCTTGTCCAGTCTAGGGCAGTCTTTCTCACGCCTACCCGCATCGTGTGCATGACTCCTCGGGTCTCAGTCCCCTCCCAAGTGCTGCTCACCGTGTCGAATGTGGGGGGAAATGTGTCCAGCGGTCCAGTGGCGTTTTCATTCGAGTCCCCCGTCATCGCCTTGTCGATCCATCCGTCATTCGGGTCGGTTCTCGGCGGCGTCATCGTCCGCGTACTTGTGGCCGAGACTGCCCTGGACGACCGTTCCAGCAGTGTGCGGTGCTGGTTTGGCAGCGTGTCCTCCATAGCCACGCGTGTCCAATCCAACGTATTCCAATGCATCGCTCCTTCCACCGTCCGGCCAGCCAAAGTTCTGTTTCACTTGCGCTCGGAGCAGCAGTCTGTAGTCCACCCCCCCATATATTTTACCTACGTGGAACCTGTCCAGGTTGTGAATGTCACGCCCGCGAGTGGACCAGTGGAAGGGGCCACGGCCGTTCGAGTTCTCTTAGTGGCGCCAGTCCTCATGCCAGCGTCGGACTTGTCGATTCAGTGCGCGTTTGGAAACCAACCAGTTCCTGGACTTCTAGTATCCCCCACCGCAATTCAATGTGTGACGCCGCCGTCCGTGTCGCAGCAATCCAATGTGTCTGTGGCGGTGACTGTCAACGGCCAAGAGTTTTCACTGTCTAGCGAGTCGGCTACCACGTTTGAGTATCAAAAGACACTGCAAGTGGACTCTGTCGTGCCGACGCTGGGCTCTCCAGGCACGTCGATCCGTGTCCTGGGCACGAATTTGAAGTCCCCCAGCATTTGCCACTTTGGCGACGCCAGGCCGTCCACCCCAGCGCGCTTTGTGTCGTCGAACGAAGTGGTCTGTGAGCTGCCAACCATGGTATCTTTTACAACAACAACAACGGTGGCAGTCGACGTGGTGCTCACGCTCGAGTATGCCACGGGCGTATACTCCAACAGCAAGCTATTCAAGGTCTTCCCTCCATTGAGCCTAACCTCGTTGTCTCCGTCACGTGTTTTCGAGAGCGGCGGGGCTCGTATCATGCTTCAAGGTCTGGGGTTCCTCGATGTCCCTCAACTGGGCTGCCTCTTCGGTCGATCGGCTGTCATCGTACCTGCGTTGTGGGTGTCCAAATACTTGGTGGAATGCGTGGTACCCCCGTTAGAACCCGGCAATGTGTCGGTGGCAGTCACTCAAAACGGCATCGACCGTTACATCGTGCCCATGTCCTTGTCGGTTTCGCCCGCCCTGACCATCTCTTCCATTAGCCCAATTCATGCATTAGTGTCTTATCCAACTACCATCACAGTGCTTGGAACTGGCTTTGAACCGTCTGTGCGATGTCGTTTTGGAGATGTAATTGTGGTGCCAACCGAGTACACCAACCGAAACACTGTCACATGCGCGGCACCTCCATCGCAGACAAGTGTGCCGTTTCAAGTGACAAACAACGGACTCGACTTCGCCGGCGATCGCTTGTGGGTGTCCCACGACGTCCAAGTCGACATCTCGGACGTGTCTCCGTCGTCCGGCCCCGTCAACACCACCACCACCCGCTTATGGATTCGAGGCACATTTACGAATATGGACCAACTGCACTGCCAACTTGGGGACATGACCACTCTAGCACACATTGCCAACACTACGCACGTCGAATGTCTCGTGCCCTCAGTCACGACAAGCCAAGTAGTGCCGATTACGCTTCTAGCGCTTGGGATGTCGATTCCGTCGACTTGGACGTTCTCGTATTACGCCCCACCCGCCGTTGAATCTATGGAGCCGTCCACGCTCTTCCGTCCGTCCACGGCAGTGACTGTCCGAGGTCTGAACTTTCTTCCGGGGGCTGTTTGTCGATTTGGAGCTGTCATCACCGGTGCTAGCGTGTACCACAGCTCGAAAGTAATTGAATGCCCCAGTCCACAGGTACATGCTCGTGGGTACGTCGTAGTTGAAGTGAGCAACAACGGCGTCGACTTTACCTCGCAAGGCCTCACGGTGCGCTTCGAAAGCCAGCTGAGCGTGGTGGCCATCTCCCCGCCGTACGCTATACATACGGGTGGGTCCTCTTTGATGGTCATCGGCACGGGGTTTCCGGCATTCTTGTACTGTCGTTTTGGCACTACCTACCAAGTGGGTACTGTTCTCAACACTACGCACTGCATGTGCACTACCCCCCCACTACCCCCAAACCAAGTCGTCGTGTTGGAGCTCAGTACGGGCGACGAAGGCACGACGAATCAAGTGACGTTTTGGTCCATGTTGCCTCCGAATCCTATTCGGGTGGATCCTTCACATGGCTCGACTGTCGGCAACACACTTTTGACTGTCCACGGCACTGCCTTTAGCATCGACTCGATGGAATGCTGCTTCAATCGTACGACATGTGTGCCCGCCGCCGTGTTGAGCGATACGCTTCTGACATGTGTGACCCCCCCGTTCAACACGACAACCAACGGCCCCGTCTTAATCACGTTGCGGGCGCCAGACAGTCAAGTGGCGTCCCTGCGTTCGGTCGAGTACTTTGTTCACATTCCACTGACATTGGCTCGGTTCGTTCCGACCAGAGTTCCCGAGCAGGGCCACACGGTGGTGACAGTCTCGGGCGCTCACTTTTCCCCGACTCTCGACCTCTTCTGCGTCTTCGGGACTGAGTTTGTGGCAGCTACCTTTGTGAACTTCGACACGATCGAGTGTGTAAGTCCGCCCCACGCCCCTGGATCTGTCTCCCTTGGAGTGAGCGCCAACGGCAAAGACATCGTTTCATTTGATGCAGTTCTAGAGTACCATCAAAGTGGGAGTGTGACTGCAATTACGCCAACGACTGGACCGGTGGACGGAAACTCGGTCGTGGTTGCCGTCGTGTCGTCCAACAACCTACTGTCGTCTGCTGTCTTTTGTAAATTTGGATCCGTCGAAGTCCGCGCCGCCGCCATCAATGCCTCGGCGGTGTCTTGCTTGTCGCCACGTGCGCGCACTTGCGGTGCGGTCTCGTTTTCCCTTGTCCAACGAGCCAAGAATTCCGTGTCAGTCGAATTTGTCTCTGCCATGCCATACACCTACGAAGACCCACCGACTCTCGTGAGCATGTTTCCCAACACGGGCTCCACCGCCGCCCCGACGGTTGTGACGCTGACGGGCTCGGGGTTCCACGCCCACACGACGTTCATTCGTTTTGGAAACATCGTCGCAGCTTGCATGGAAGCGACGAATACCTCAACATGCACAGTGCAATTGCCTCGGCATGGCATTGAAACAACGCAAGGAGATGGCGGCGGCGTCGTAACTGTGGACGCGACCAACAACAACCAGGACTTTTCGACCCCGCTGCTGTTCCTGTACACCCCACGAGTCGCGGTGATGGCGGTGGCCCCTTCCGTCACGCACGGACCCACTTTGGTGACCGTATCCGGAGTTCACTTTGTCGACACGATTCCAAACGCTTTGCGCTGTCGCATAGGCGGACACGTGGTGGTCCCAGCGACGTTCGTCTCTGCCACGTCCGTGCAATGCCTCATTCCGACGCTTTCAGGCGGAAATTATAACGTCGAAGTGTCTGTGAACGGTCAAGACTTCACCAACGACTCGGTGCAGATATTGGTCAAAGACCCGGTGGAGATATATACAGTGCAACCACCCTTTGGCTCGACCCAAGGCCGAACCGTGGTGACAATGACCACAAACTCAGTTCTGGACACTTCCGTCGACTTGTTCTGTGCGTTTGGCGATGGATTAGTGTCCACCTTGACCGTTCTAAACGCATCGACGGCGTCCTGTGTGGCTCCCCCCACGGCAGCTGTCGGGACGGTGCCGTTGAGTGTTGTGCAGTCGAGTGTAGAGCTGACTACAGTCATGCCACCCACATCCTTCACGTCGATCTCCAGCATCACTCACTCGTACACGTATATCCGACCAGTGGAAGCAACGTCCCTGTTTCCGTCGTTTGGGTTCCAACAAGGCGGGACGGTGGTGTCGATGGCTGGCGACGGCTTCGTCAACACCGCCCAGGCCAGCTGTGTCTTTGGCAATACGTCGGTCCCTGCGGTCGTCCTGTCCTCGGACCTGTTGCGCTGCGTGGCGCCTCCATTTCATCACTCACCTGAAGAAGTGGTGGAAGTGATGGTAACTATGAATGGAGTCGATATAACGCGCACCAATCTCTGGTTTCGCTACGTCCGTGACGTGGCCTTGTCCAGCATCACGCCTTCGAAATCCACTCTAGCGGGCGGCAGTCTCGTGGACATTCGGGGCGCTGGCTTTGACCACCTTAGCAACTTGACGTGCGTATTTGGAGCCAATCGTCACGTTAGTGCGACAGTGATATCTCGTCAATCGCTGTCTTGCGTGGTGCCGCCAGTGTCTGCGGAAGGCACGGTGGTGGTTCGAGTGGCCATGAATATGCACGATGTGTCCGTGGATGGTCTGCGCTTCGACTACCAGATCCCAGCGCTTCTGTACAGTATCGCACCCACAGTGGGCCCGCACATAGGACATACTAAAGTGCTGGTCACGGGCGAAGGCTTTACCCCTGGCTTGCAATGCGCATTTGGCGCCATATTGGTCAACTCTACGTTCCTGACATCGCGAACGCTGTCGTGCGTGGCGCCGCCGCTGTCGATCGAGGTCGACGTGGTGGAGTTCTCGTTGCAAGATCCACACGTTGTAAGCAGTCAAACCACGTCCCTGCCGTACTATGTGGTAGTCCTGCCAGACATTGTGAGTGTCCAGCCATCGTCTGGCCCCGTCACTGGCAACACCACTGTGGTGCTGACGATGGATGGAAGCTGGGGGTTCCAAGCCGACGTGTTCTGCCAGTTTTGTGCATCTGTGGTCCGCGGAGAGTTTGTGGAATCGACTCGAGTGGTGTGTCGCCCCGGAGCACAGCCGACGGCGGTGGAGTGCCCCGTCAGCATCTCCCCCAACGGAATCGACTTCACCGATCCAACGTGGACGTTTTCGTTCTACGACCTTCCGTCCGTCAAGACTTTGGTTCCCGCGAGAGGCCAAAGCGGGACACGAATCACAGTTCGCGGCTCCAACTTTTCGAACGTTCCAAATCTGCAGTGTAAAGTGGGCACGACGGTTGTGCGTGCCGCCTACGTATCCCAAGATGAATTGACTTGTGTAGCACCACCAATCTCCAGCAACAATAACTACACTACTCTACAAGATATCCAATTGATATCGATCACTGGCCCTATCCCCCAGCCCACCATCCAAACCATCACAACCACAGCGGCCCCAGCAGTGAGCGAAGTTCAAGTGGTGACGACTTCTGGCTGGGCCAATCGGGCACAGGTCCAAACCATCGCGCCAATCTTGTCGCCTGTGCAATCGAACGTGGTGCAGATCACCACATCGAGCAATTACCAGCCTGAGATTCAGTGGTTGCAGTTCAAATTGAACCCCCAATTGCCCGAGGTCCAGGCGATTACAAGCACTGGCACCACGGGGGGTTCGTTCACCGTGCAATTGTTTGGAGTTGGTGCTGTGATTGGGTACCAGGATGCGGCCGCGACCGTCCAGGTCACGCTCCAAACAGCAGCCGTGGGCCATTCGTTCTCGGTCACTCGAAGCGCCGTGGCGAACGGCGGATACACGTGGTTGATCACATTCACGTCGGACGTGGGGGCGCTGCCGATGATTCAAGTGACCTCGACTGGATCTCTTCTTGGCACGTCGCCCGCGGTTTCCGTGCTTCGAAATCGAGCTGGAACAGTCGCGGAAACCCAAACGATCAGTGTGTACGGCACGGTCTTTTCCAGTGGACCTGCCATCTCCATGGATGTGTCGTACGCGGGGGTGACGGTGGTACAAGGTATCGCACTTCCGGTCACAGCGTCCGCCTTGGCCACTGCTCTGAACGCCGTGGGGAGATTGGGCTCTGTCTCGGTGGCCCGTCGAAACAGTGCATATGTTGCCTTTAGTGGAGCAGCATCGCCGCTCGAATTGTTTCAGTACGACATCACCTTCTTGTCCAAATCAACTCTGGGTTCCCTCTTGCAAGTGCGCCTTCAGTCGTATGTGGGTCTGTGCGCCGTAGCCCGAAGTGTCGTGGGTACGACGCCAGCTCCCGCGGGGACGTTTACGCTGAGCTTGGGAAGCAGCACCACGGCGCCACTGGCTTGGGACACGTCCGCGTACAACCTCAAGCTAGCGTTGCAATCTCTCCCGGGTGTGGACGTGGCCATGGTGTCCGACCTGCTTCCCGCAGTTTCCACCAACGTGCGAACGTTAAAGCTCGTGTTTTCACCTTTGACGGGCAACATGGCGCCCCTTGTTGTGCAGTTCAATTCCGCAACCAATACTGGAATCTATGGAGATAAATCGAGCATGTTGTCGACGGGATTGACTGCGACTGTTCTAGCAGTGCAAGATGGAGCCTACTTGGGAGGCATGTTCAAGCTAACGCACCCGATTACTGGAGCGTCTCTTACCGCAGTCACCAACATTCCGTGCGGCACCTTGACCTCGTTAGTAGGCGCCACGTCTTGCTTGATCGAAGGGCCTGGCATCAGCGGCGAGTATCGGTGGACGCTGTCGTTTGCATCGATCGTGGTTCCGATTACAGTGTCGAGCGTGGGGATGACTGGGGCGGCGCCTTTGGTTCAACTGACCAAGTTCACGCCTCAAGCAACTGCCAAAGTCCAAACGATTTCGATTTCAAACACCCACGTCTCGACCATCCAACGGCTTCGTGTGTCAGGGGTAGGCGCGGTGTGGGAAGTCCAGAGCATCACGATGATGGCTCAAGGGGGGACACTTCAAGGAGTGTTTTCCATTCGATTCGGCGCGGTCAACTCTGGAAACTTGACGGCCAATGCGTCGGCAGTCGACGTCCAAACCGAGTTGGCGCGACTGGCTCAAAGTGTGGCCGTAACCCGACAAAGTGTTGTTAGCGGCAGCTCAACCGGGTTCACATGGCTCGTGACGTTTTACCAAAGCGGCGACATACCCGACTTGGTGGTGACGTCCACCAATTTGGTGGGAACGGGTCTGTCTGTGCAAGTGCTAGAGGTTGTCAAGGGTATTCCCTGTGAAGTTCAACGGGTAGTGCTGTCGATTCCCGATCGAACCAGTGTGACTGGAACGTTTCGGCTTGGGTTAATGGGGGCCACGACAAGTGCGCTGTCGTACGTGGCTACCGCAGCGCAAGTCCAGCTGGCGTTGCAAACCGCGCTGAATGTGGCTGTGAATGTATCGCTGACTCGTCCAAACTCTCAAAATGGAAGCACTTGGACGATATCATTCCCAATGCACGCGGGCAATATCAACGCCATGACCGTCGACACTTCCGCCCTTGTGTCGACTCCGACCTCCACTCCAGCCACAATCAAAGTGCTAGAAGTGCAGCCAGGCATGACCGTGCCAATGCTGGGCTCGTTTGCAGTCACATTCCAAGGACAAACAGCCATAATCCCCCTCACCACAACCGTTGCGGCCCTGTCGACATCGCTGAACGGAATTGTGTCTGGAGGAGTGACAGTTACTTCGACTGTTGTCGACAAAACTGGCGGTGGGGTGTGGGACATAACGTTTACGGCGCTGGGGGTCCAGCCATTGCTCGCAGTCGACCTGGCGCTGGTTCGAGGCGGGACCAGTCCGACCGCCTCTGTCGCAACCGTCCGATCTGGCACCCAGTACGACCTTCAAGTCGTGTCCACTGCGTCTGTGACATCGGGGACGTTTTTTCTGGCTTACGGGTCACTGGAAACACCCAATTTGGCATTCAACGCGTTAGATTCCGACGTTCAGTCAGCTGTCAACGGATTGCTCCCGGTGGGGTCGTCCGTCGTGGTCACGCGGGTGCTGACTGGCACGAATACATACAACTGGACCATCACATTCCAAGCCCTCAATTCCGTCGTGCTCGTGGCTGGCGGGGTCAATCTAGTCGGTCAAGTGACTGTCTCTCGTCTGCCGCCGTCGCCGTTAACACCTGTCCAAGGGGGGTTCACCTTAACTTCGTCCCAGGGCCAAAGTGTCTACGTGCCAGCCACTGCGTCGGACGTGGACATGAAGTCCATTGTCCAATCGTTCCCAGCAATAGGTACGGTGTCGGTGGCTCGATCGGGGGATGCTTCTGTCAATGCTTTCGTATGGGCCATAACGTACCTCGAAAATGCCGGCCCCCAAAACAATCTGACAGTCGCATCGTTCAATTTGACGTCGTCTGGACAGGTGGGGGTGTCGATTGCAGTCACGCAAGAAGGCACGGCAGCATGCTGCCTCGGAGGGTCCTTCCGACTGGCGTCTGGGGCCACGACCATCCGGTTGCCTGGAACGGTCGCAGTGGAGCAGAAGTGGCCCATTGCCACAACGTCCCAGGATCTCACGGCGGTGGTCCGGCGCGGGGAAGTGGTCGTGATCAACGGCAACGTTTTCACTGTGGATATGTTTCTACCTTTTGATGCGACACGGTTGCCACTCAGCGCCGTCTATCCGGGCGTGAACGATCCAATCGCAGTCGGGTACACTCAACCCACGACGCCGTGGCTAGACGTGACGACCACATCGCCGTCGACGATGCTCAGGGCTTTGACCAACCTTCCAAACATGAAGAATGTTCTTGTATCGAGGTCCACCAAGATGATCAACAACGGCTACTCGTGGTCCGTGACGTTTGCGGGCGACACCTCCGACGCCACGCTGCTTCGCGTGACATCCGCCTTGACGCTGGGTAGCATCGCATCGACCGTCACCACGCCTCGAGCACAAGGAGAAATTCGAATGATTTACGTTAGTGCCATGTCCACCATCTCTGGCACGTTCAAGATGAACCTGGGGGGCGTGGATTCGCCACCTCTTGCGTGGAATTCCACTGCCACCGATATGAAAGCCGCTCTGGAAATGCTCTACACCAGTGTCAACGTCACCCGCTCGCCGCTCTTCGCCACGAGCTACAACTACCTCGGGGACGGTTACGGCTGGTTCGTCACGTTTGCATCGGACACTGGCACTGCTCGAACTCTAACGTTCATTCCGATGACTCTGACAACGGCATCGTCCACCGCGGCAGTGGTGAATTGGATATTGGTCACACCGGGGACTTCCACTCCTTTATCCGGCACGTTCCAGTTGAGTTATCTTGGGTACTCCACGACGTCGCTCGCGTTCAACGAAGGCGCGTCGTCCGTTCAATCGGCGCTCAACCTCCTCCCGTCGGTCGGGAATGTTGCGGTTACTCGATCGGTAGCGGATCCAAATATGGGGTACTCGTGGTCAATCACGTTTTTGCCGAATCCAGCCAAAGCCAATGTCCAACAGCGGGGAGATTTCCAACCGCTGGGGTATATGTCCGCCTTGAGCGGCACGGCGGCATCGATTTCCATCACAGAGTTCATGAAGGGATCGTTTCTAGACGGCTCGTTTGCCTTGATCTCTGGGTCCCAAGTCACCAGTCCCATCGCGTACAACGCAGCCGCAGATGTGGTTCAGAACGCCCTCCAAACGTCATTTGATTGGGCGACGTCGGTGGCGGTGACCAGGACGAGCGTGAACGCGGCCGGGGGGTACACGTATGCGTTGACGTTTCCCGCGGGACTCGGCGTCGTCGAGTTGCTTGGGGTTGACACGACCCTGCTGCTCGGCACGCAAGCCGCGGTCACAGTCCAAACCACCCAGCCAGGGGTGAATCCCGTCTCGGGGGTGTTCACACTCGACTTTAACGGGGCGGTCACGTCGCCATTGGCATTCAATGCGACGTCCGTTCAACTGCAGACCGCCCTGGAAACTCTCCCAACCATTGCAAATGTGGACGTCACCCAGACGCAAAGTAGTGGGGGGAACGGCAATTCGTGGCAAGTGACGTTCTTGTCCACCAGTGGTGCGCCTTTGAATGTAGGGGACTTGCCCCTTCTCGGCTTGAACCCTGTTCGATTGCATGGCACTCAAATCGTTGCGAATGTGACCAAGGTCCAAAGCGCCGTCACCGCCTTGTCAGTGTCTGTGAATGGCCAGGACTGGACATCAGACAACGTCGGCTTTCGATATGATAGCGACATGCTGGTACAGCAAGTATCCCCTGCGTTGGGTCCAGTCACTGGAGGCACCCGCGTGGTGCTGCGAGGATTTCGCTTTGTCAACATGACCATGTGGTGCTTGTTTGGCAATGCCACCACGGGTGTCGAGTACATCAGCGCCACCTCCGTCGTCTGTTCGAGTCCGCCGCAGGGCTCTTCGACGTCTGTCTTTGTCAAACTTCTGTCGGCGTCATCGGCCAGTCTCATGGAAACCATGTCGGACTCAGTGGCCGTGTTTCACTACTACCCGACTATATCGTTCACGACAATGACTCCTGCGTTCGGATCGAGCTCGATGGCAACACATGTCCGCATTGAAGGCGCCTACTTTGTCAATACATCGCGGTTGACATGCAGATACACCACGTACATTCCGTCCCTTGCCACGCATGTGCATCAGTCCGTACTGGCCACGTTCGTCTCGTCCACAGAGATCGGGTGTATCGTGCCATCGCTCAAGAGCAGCTTTCCCAAATCAGGGTCAACTTGGGCCAATCACGTGGCCGCGTCCTCCACGGCCGTCGAAGTGTCCAATAACGGACAAGACTACTCGGTCCATCCCACCAACTTTACGACCCTCCCCGACTTCCAAGCGTCGGCATTGGCTCCAACCACTGGACCGTTGGGTGGAGGCACCGTATCTACAATCACACTGAGTCCGGTGCGGTGCGACACAAATTTAGTGGCTTGTCGCTTTGGCAATCATGTTCCTACGCCGGCGACGACGTGCACGAGGGACGGCACCGTCACGTGTGTTGTGCCACGTCATCGCCCAGAACCGTCCATTTACCAGCTGAAAGTGAACTCGAGTGCGCTCGTGGGCGAAGTGCAGACTGTGACTGTAGCGGCGACTAATATTGCTCTGCTTTCTGGATCGTTTCAACTGCGCTACCAGGGATTAACGACCGACCCCGTTGCGTTCAACGCAGCGGCGTCGACGGTGCAGAGCGCCATCAACAGCGCCATGTCCCCATTGGTTGTTGTAACTGCCGCCACTCGGTCGACCTTGTCCAATGGATATACGTGGACGCTAACGTTTTCGCTGGAAAGTGGAAACATCGGAGTATTGCAATCTGACATGTTTGCGTTGGAAGGGCCCGGGTCGGCCGTGACTGTGGCAACCGTTCAAGATGGACCTACTGGCACCGTCGTCAAGGAAGTCCAGCAGATCAAGTTTACGCAGCCTCCATTGGTCAACGAAGTGCAGATTGTAAACGTGTCCTGGGCTCCCATCGTGCTCGAAGTGCAGCGGATAAGTCTCACGGCGGCTGTCGTGATGACCGGATCGTTCACATTGAGCTACAACAGTCTCAGCACTTCGTCGTTGCCGTTTAATGCGGAGGCTGTGGCGGTGCAATCCGCACTGCAGGGTGTGGTGGGGGTCGGTTCTGTGAACGTCACCCGGACGCATGCGTTGAATACGCGAGGATTTGTATGGGATGTGACGTTCTTGACTTCGTCTGCGGGCCCTAGACCAGACCTCACCGTGAACAAAGCCAATATTGTTCCGTCGGCATCGGTGACGTTGACGCAGTCCAAGCTCATTGCCGGCACGTCCCCATTGTCTGGGACTTTTGTATTGAGCTATTTGGGGTTTCCCACGACTTCGTTGGCGGTCGACATCTCCGCGGCAGCCCTTCAAACCCAACTCGCGACGATACTGCCGCCAATTGTAGCGGTGACGAAATCGTTTGCTGCTACTTGTACGGTATGGCGCATTACATTTGGACTAACGACAGCCGCGCCGTCGCTCGTGGTCGCCAACGGCAGTGGGTTGTCCGGTTCTGGTGCATCTGTGACAACCCGTCAGGACGTTCCCGGGGGGGTTTTGATGGGCGGGACCTTCAAAGTAGCGTACAACAGCGTCTCCACCGCAGCCATTCCGCTGTCCGCCACCGCGTTGGCAACCGCCCTGGCCCCCATCGCCCCCCCGTTTACCATATCAAGTGTCAGCACTACGTTTTCAATCGAGTTCAACATCACCTTTGCAGCCACGGCTGGGAACGTGCCTTTGCTTGTCGTGGATGCATCGACGGTCACTGGCACCACCGTCACAACCAACGTCACGACCGTTCAAAGTGGATCGTACGCTCCTTTGGGTGGTTCTTTTCAGCTGACATGGAACAAAACACAATCCAGTGGACCCATCGCCTTCAACGCTGCCAATTCAACGATTGCGGCGGCCTTGCAGTTGCTCCCAGGCGTTGGCACGGTCACGGTGGGTCCTCGACTGTCGTTGGTATCGGGGTACCAGTGGCAGGTCACGTTTATGGACTCGTGGAAGATGGCCAACGCTTCCAACTTGCGGAATTTGGAGCTGCAGGGAGGACTTCTCACTGGAACGAACGCCACGATGACGTGGACTCCGATCGTGGATTCGTTGGGGGTCAAAGTGCCCCTGTTTATAACGACAAACGGCCAGGCTTTTGTCGATACCTCGCTCATGTTTACGTACCACGACGAGATTGTCCTGGACTCGATGGATCCCCTCAACGGCCCTGTCGACGGCAGCACCACCGTCACAATAACGCTAGCCCCTCAAAGCATGACCTTGTCTTTGAACCAGTCCGTGTATTGTCGATTTGGTGTGTCGATTGTCACTGGAAGTGTGCTAAATGCCACTCGACTCGAGTGTATCTCGCCGGAAGTGTCCGATGCAGGAGATGTATCTGTGGAAATCAGCGTCAACGGCATGGATTTCAGTTCCACGGGGTTGATGTTTCAGTACCGATGGCAGCTGCAGTTGGTGTCAGTATCCCCCTTAAGGGGTCCAATTGCAGGGGGAACGCTGCTGTCGGTGGCCATGGCGGCGGCGGTCAGTCCCCTGGATGTGTTCGCGTGCATCATTGGTGGCCAAGTGGTCCCGGCCGAGCAGGTGAATGCCAGTCACGTATTTTGTCGGACGCCGCCCCTCGCAGTCGGCTCGGCCGTTCGTCGCGTGGCGGTTGAGATCACGTACAACCACCAAATTTACTCCACTAGCGACCTCCAATTCACATATACTGACCCGTTGTACTTGACGGGAGTGACGCCGGCGTGGGGACCGGCTACCGGTGGAACAACTGTTAAAGTACGAGGTGGAGACTTCGACCTTGCACAGTCGGCATGGTGTCGATTTGGAGAGAAAGTCGTGGATGGGTTGGTAGATTCGCCAGAGTATATCGCCTGCCAGACGCCACAGTTTGATCCGGTCGGCCAAGTGCAGCGCATCACGACGACTGCGTCGGGGTACGTGCCTGATGTGCAAGATGTAGTGGTGTCTGCTGCCCCGGACCAGCCCCTCGTGCAAGTCGTGACCACATCCGGGGCCACCCCCTTGATTGAAACGCAAGTGCTTTCAATCTCGGGGCAAAATGTTCCAGAAATTCAAGTCGTGCAACCCACAGTGGACACGCTCAGCTCTGAAATCCGCACCATCTCCACCACAGTCGCCGCGACCGTGACCGAAGTCAAGACGATTCAGGTTGACGCGACGCCGATTCACGAAGTCCAGCAAATCACTGTTACAGTCAACACTGCCGCTTTAACTCCAAGCCAATTCGAAGTCCAAGCGTTGTGGATGCCCATCTCGCCCACTGAAACCGGCTCGTTCACGTTGGAATTCCAGGGCGCCAAGACTCCTGCGATACTGTACAACTCACCACTGGCCCAGCTCCAAGCAGCGTTGGAAGCATTGGATACGGTTGGCACGTTGCGCATCACGACGTCCATCCAAACTGGCTACAATGTATGGGCGATCACGTTCTTGCAGAACACGGGCCTGCTGCCGTTGCTGGTAGTGGACTCGTCATCGCTGGTTGTTGTGGTGCCGGCGCTGGTGTCGGTCCAGTCTGTTCAAGTGACTAGCACAGCCGCGTTAGGTGGGTCGTTCGCGGTGAGCTACAACGGCCAGTCGACTGTGGACATCCCGGTCTGGTCGTCGGCGACTGACGTGCAGGCAGCCATTCAAGCGCTTCCAACCGTTCAAAACCCCGTTCTGGTCACGCGAACCGACTTGGATTGCAACGGCGGAGCGAGTTGGATCGTGACGTTCGTGTCGACTTCAGCTGCCAACGGAAACATTCCGACTATGACGATGCAGGGCGCAAAGGTCACGGGCACGTTGTCGCAGAGCAGTGTCAGTCCAGTGACCGACAGCAACGCTGTAGGCGGGTCGTTCAAGCTGTCTTTCCAGGGCACGTTGTCTCCGACGTTGTATCTAACGACAACCGAAACCGCCATGGCGGCTGCCGTGCAAACCCTCACGCAAGTGCCCGTGGCGTCCGTGACCCGACGAGGACCCACCGCCGTGAACGGGTACTCTTGGCAGGTTACATTTGGCGGAGCTCCGTCTTTGATTCCAGATATTCTTGGCGTGAGTTTCTTGACAGGCATCGGAGCAACTGTTCGAGCAACGACCACGCGAGTAGCCCAAGTGCTCGAGATCCAGCAACTCACGTTGGCAGCCAGTTCATTTATCGGCGGGTCGTTTAGGCTCCAGGTTGGATCTCAGCAGACGCTGCCGCTCCCGTCGGATGCGTCTGCTACCGCCGTGCAAAATGCACTGAACGCGCTCGTGAACTTTGGAACGTTCGCCGTGTCCAAGTCTGCCGTCATAGACGTGTACGGGAGCTGCTCGTGGCAGATTACGTTTCTGACTTTGGCGGGGAATCAAAACATGATTCAAGTGCTTCCGACAACTCTGGCCGGAAAACCCAGTTTGTTTGACTCTGGAAGCCGCGATGTCCGTCTTGTGATGACCGAACTTCAAGCGGGCGTGGGGGGTCCCCTCGCCGGGACGTTCCGACTGTCTGTCGACGGCTCAGTCTTGTCCGATCCGATCTCGTACGACGCCACCGCAAGTGAAGTGCAGCGAGTTTTGCAAGCGATTGAACCGGTACAAGTGTCCACTTCTGGTGTGTTTGGCCTCAACAATATCATGACGTGGTCCGTCACGTTCACAACGCCCAAACCCACTGGTCGGATCCTGACTGCGGTGACGACTGGGCTGACCCCTGGGAGTGCCAGCGTTGTGTTTGGAACTACTCGCCCTGGTGTGGTTCAGGAGATTCGCCGCATCACAACGACGCTCACGTCTGGTGCGTTTGTGTGTACTTTTGCCTCCAAAACCTCGGGCTCCATTCCGTTCAACGCGAATTCGACTGTCTTTGGCACGGCCTTGTCTGCAATCGCTGAACTGGGCACCCTGGACGTATCAGGCACGAACCCGTGGCTCGTGACGTTCACTCAACTCTCGGCACCTATCCCCGTGCTCAGTTGTGGACCAACGCAAGGCGTGACCACTGTCCAGACAAGCACGAGCTCTGCGCTGTCGGGAACGTTCAAGTTGGGCTTTAACAACGTGTGGACGACGGCGTTGGCGCCGAATGCTTCAGCGTTAACCGTACAAAATGCGATCAATGCCGTCATGGGCGCAGACTCCGTGACAGTCAGCGGGGCATCTGTCGTGTTAAACAACGGGCAGCGGTGGGACGTGACGTTCACCAACAAACCAGGCACGTGGCCACTCTTGACCATCGACAAAACTCTCTTAGTGGGCACGAATGCCGCCGTTCAAGTGACCCGCAAAGTCACTGGAAACCAAGTGGTTGGCACGTTTCAGGTAGCGGTGAATGGTCGCACGACTGTGCCGTTGACGCCTCAAGCGACCGCCGGTGACTTGATGGCGGCGCTGCAGAGCGCGTTAAGCTGCCGCGCATGTACATCCGTGGTGCGATCACCTCCGTTGAGTGCGGGGGGGTACGCCTGGACGGTACAATTTCGGCTGTATGACGCCTTCCTGCAGACGTTTTCGACTCAACTCGACCCTTCTACCAATCCGATTTCAGTGGTTCAGTCGACCCTGAATTGCACCGGGTTGTCAGTACAAGTCACGCCCACTATAACTGGATCGAGTCCCATCAGCGGATCGTTCGTCCTCCGGTATCGAGATCAGCCGACGGTGCCGATTCCGTGGGACGCCACACCGGAAACCGTGTTGCTGGCTGTGCAGCACATCAAGTCGATTCCGAAAGGATTGTTTCAAGTGACCCGGAGTGGCCCCTTTGTCACGGGGGGGATGCAGTGGCGCATCACGTTCCCGTTCAATATTCCGTACCCGTCGGAAGTGTTCAAACCAGTTTCATTTTTAGCCGGGTCCAATCCTGGCATTGCTGTCACGGTGGGCACCCCCCAGACGATTCCAGTGCAAGGAACGTTCGCCCTCCAATTTCAAAGCCAGGTGACGTCGCCTATTGCGTTCAATGCCAACGCATCCGACATGGCCACTGCGTTGCAGCGCCTGTCGAGTTTGAGTGGTGGCGTGACCGTCACGACACTTCACTCGCCATGGCTGAACACGTTCAAGTGGCAGGTGTCGTTCACATCGCTGGCCAACGCGGGTCCGATGGCTTTGCTCTCCTCGCCCATATTTCAAGTAAACGGATCCACCCCTCATATCACGTTCGTCAAGGTTGTGAATGGCACGAGCAATGCACTCCAGCGAGTCACGATCAGCGCCGCGGCGGCAACACCCACTGGAACATTCACCCTGTCGTACTTGGGCGTGGCGTCACCAGTAGTTCTGTCTGCATCGTGCAGTGCTCTGGAGTTTGCAAGTGCCTTGAACGCACTATCAGCGGTGGGCAAGACGACTGTCGAGCGCACCGTCGCCTTGAACGGCCAAATTGGCTTCACGTGGTACATTCTGTTTACGGATTCGTATGTGGACAAAGTCGCCATTGCGCTAAACACTGGCCAACTCCTGCCGACCACGGGGTTGGTGGTGTCGGTGGCGCTCGTGCCGTCCAAGACGACTCCCATCAGTGGGTCCTTTCAAGTACAATACGGGCAAACATGCATCGATGGCATCGACACGTCGTCCTGTGTTCCGGCAGTGACGTCCACTTTACCGTACAATGTGGACGAGACTACCCTGCAGCACGAACTGTCGATGCTGCCGGGCCTCTCATCCGTCCAAGTCTCGCGTTCCGTCGCTGCCGACTACTTGAGAGGGTATACTTGGCTCGTGTCGTTTCCAGATACACTGGGCAATCTGGCGCTGCTCCGGACATCCAGTGCGCTGACAGGGTCGAATGCGAAGGTTGAAGTCAGCGTCGAAAGGGCGGGCGTGACCTTTGACGAGTCAAAAGTGGCGGTGGCGGTATCCCAGAACGGCCAAGACTACACTACCATGTCCACCGTCGTGTACCAGTACGTTCAAACGATCTTGGTGTATTCGACCTTTCCCAACCACGGCCCCGTGTTTGGTGGTACCGAAGTGGTCGTGTATGGCGACTACTTTACCAACTCGTCCACCTTGTATTGCCGATTTGGCACTACTGTGGTGTCCGCTGCAACGTATTTCAACTCCACCACGCTCACCTGTATCGCTCCGTCCGTCCAGTCGCCCCGCCAAGTGTTTATAGACGTGTCCACAAACAGCAAACGAAGCAGCTACTCCAACACCACCACGGCTGCCTTCACCTACGACGCCCCAGTCTCCCTCAAGTCTGTGACCCCCACGTTGGGCCCTGCGACGGGGAATTTCTCCGTCGAGATCTACGGCGGCCCATTTCCTCGCACAGACGAGTTGCGATGTCGATTCGGATCGGTCGTCGTGCAGGCGTTGTGGGTCCAAACCGACGCCATCCAGTGCACGGCGCCCACGCAGCTGCAGCCGGGGACCGTCCCGCTCGAAGTGTCGGTCAATAACCAAGACTACACCTCCAGTCGGCATCCATTTTACTTTTACCCGTGCCCGACCCTCCGTCGCATCTTCCCCGTGTTTGGCCCGGCTTTTGCCGCCGGCAGTCGCGTGGATGTCTTCGGTACTGGCTTTGTCAACTCATCCGGCTTGGTCTGTCGGTTTGGCGAACATGTCCTACCGGCTTCCTTTCGAAGTCCATTCCAACTGACGTGTCTGACGCCTCCGCTGGATCCGTACAGCGGCGGCCTCCAACCCCTGCCCTTGTCCGAGCAGCGTCATGCGTACCCTGATCCATCCACGGGCACCCGGTTGCTCTTTCCCACGGCGCGCCATTTTCCGCTAGTGCAAGGTCGACTCGTGTCGGTGGAAATCTCCAACAACCACCAGGACTTTACTTTCACAGGGATCAACTACCTGTACTACCAAGACGCGACGGTTTCGGCTATTAAACCGACCCAGTTGTACGCTGCGGCCAATGTCGGGTTGTTTGTCCAAGGACTCAACTTCATCAACTCGACGCTGTTGGCGTGTCGAGTCGGCGTGTCGACGGTCCCAGGAGTGTTTGTCACGTCTTGGTTGGTGCTGTGTCCGATGCAAACTACACACATCAAGGCGTCTCTTCCGTCTACTTCAACCGGCCACCTCCCCACGGACGACATCCTCCCCACCTTTGCGTCGCCCCAGCTCTTGTTTGTGGAAGTCGCTAACAACGGCATTGACTTTTCATCCAATCGCGTCATGCTCGAGTACTTGGGTCAGTGTCCGACGGGGTATTATTGTCCTCCCGTGTCACAGGGCAGTCGGCTGGCGTGTCCTCGAGGCAGCTACTGCCCCGGCCAAGGCAACGCCAACTACACGTTGTGTCCAAGGGGAACGTACCAGCCGCTCCCGTCTCAGTCCGAATGTCTGCGCTGTCCCATTGGATACCACTGTCCGCATATCGGGTTGCACGTGCCCCGCATCTGTCCGGCGGGGTTTGTGTGCGATGTCACGGGGATCGAAACCGCCGACCAGCCGTGCCCCGTCGGTCACTTTTGTCTGGAAGGCACGGCGACGACTGCCACGACGTGCGGGCATCGACTTGCATCGCGCAAGCTCGGGGTCACGTACTCCCACGCCGAACGCGGCTCCACCGTCCGGAAAGGCCGCGACGGGGTGGCATCGCAACCGATCCTTGGGGCCCGCCAAACTGCCTGTTGGGACAACAGCACGCAAGACTTTGGGCTTCAGTTGAGCTCGTCTCCCAGTCGATTCTGGCTCGAGCTGCAGCAGATGCCCTTGTCCAGTTCCACGTTGGACTTTGAACCGATTCGAGGGCGGTATTGCATGGACGATGCGTGTTTGGCGGTGTCGCCTTCGCTGGACGTCATGGACAACATCATTATGGACTACCACGGACTGTTTTCACTTCGGCGTCCGGTGCCGTGTCCACGTGGAATGTACTGCCACGCAGGCACAGCAGGCAACTCGTCTGTGCTGAAAAACTTCACGTCCCCGCAGCCGTGCTTCGAAAGCATGTATTGCCCGGAAGGGAGCGACAGTCCGTCCGGCCAGGGCGATTGTCCGGGGGGGTTCTACTGCCCATTCGGCATCAAGATTCCGTGTCCGGCGGGTACCTACTGTCCGACACCAGGGTCGTACGATCCATTGGGGTGTCCTCCGGGTACGTTCAACGCCATGGTAGGGCAAACCCAGTGCACCCCTTGTCCCGAGGGATACATTTGCCCAGGCTTCAACCGCATCCAGCCGGTGCTGTGTCCGCCGGGGTACGTATGCTCCAAGCCCGAGCTCGCGACGCCCAACCTCCGGTGTCCGCCGGGGTACTACTGCTACGCCGGTCGATTGACGTCGGATCCGTTCCGCAACGATACGACGTTGCGTCCGTACCCGTGTAAACCCGGCACGTTTTGCCTGGGCGGCGTCATCTCGGACCTAGTCGTGACGGGCAATTACGACTATGCCCAAAACTGCACCGCCGGGTTTTACTGCGAACTCGCGTCCTTCTCCCCCAAAGGCATCGGCATGTGTCCGCCAGGGTTTTATTGTCCCGCGGGTACGGCGGTGCCGATACCCACGCCCAAGGGGTCGTTTGCGGCCCGCAACGGCACCGTCCAGGCGGCGCTGTGCTCTCCTAGCTTCTACGCCCCTACAATTGAAACCGTCGAGTGTTATCCGTGCCCGCCTGGAACGACCTGTCCGGACGACGGCACCGCCGTGGCGACCATCTGTCCGCCGGGAACCTACCGCAGCACGTTTGAAGCGGACGGTATCACGTGCGTGCCATGTCCTCAGGGCACGTGGTCCAAGAATTGGGGCCTCCGAGAGGTGGGCGAGTGCATCTTATGTCCGCCGGGTACCGTCTGCGCCACGGATGGCATGACGAATCCGTGCTCGCAAAGCGATCTGCCGCTGCCGTACGTCCCCACCAACCTCAACGAAAGCGTCCCCGAGTGTCTCGCGCGCGGCTCGCAGTTCTACTTTGGGGTGCTGTTAGAGCCGTGGATCGACGACCTTGGCGTGGGGCCGCACTTTCTGCCGCACATTTCGGGACAATGTTACTACAACCCCCAGCCCATGGGCAGTCCGCTGTACCTCCGGTTCACCGAGTACTTTGGCCCGCTCTTTGACATTGCGACGGGTGCACCCCATCAGGGGTACGGTGACGTGAGCCAGCTTCCCGTGCCTGGATACTTTGAGCGTGGGTCGCAGTTTGTCGACCTCATGCACTCCACATTGTACGACCTCAAGCAAAACTGCACCCGCGGCTTCTTCTTCAAGGACAAATGGTTCCCCGGAACTTGCGAAGCCGACGTCATCTGCTACTCGGACAAGACCTCCCAGGCGCTGATTTGCCCCGAGGGGTACATTTGCAACGAAGCGACCACCGACGCCCTCGCCCTCGCGACGCCGTGCGCGCCGGGCTACGTCTGCGGCTTCGGCACCACGCCGGACGCCTACTTGCAGTCCCCCATGGGCCAGTTCGACATGCTGTGTCCGCGGTCCTTCTTTTGTCCCGAAGCCACGGGCATAGGACTCATGAAGCGCCACGCGTGCCCGGCTAACTACTTTTGCCCCACGGGTACCGTGGACCCGTACATGGGAGCGATCGCCAACGACGCCGAGCGCCGGCAGATTCCGCCAGCGGACGCCGACCCGTTTCGACATGTCGACCACGTCGCCTACCTCCGCGAAGGCGACATCCGCGAGTTCTCCCTGCACGACAAGCGGTGCTTAGACGGCGTCGATCCCGAGCTGCTGAATACATTCACCACCAACGAATCGGGGGGCGTGGTCAACGCTGCGTTGGAGAGCCAGCTCTTGTGTGCGCGAGACAACAAGTGGCGCCACGTGTTCAATGCAATCCAGCGCCGCGAGTGCGACTGTGTCCACCAAGTCCAAGTCACCCTCGACCTGTTCGCGTTGTGGCAGTGTAATAACACGTGCACCAGCGTCTTCGCTCAAGCGTCTTGGCGGGTGGCCCAGTCGTCCACCAATGGACTGCGCTTTGCAAAGTACTCGACCACGGTGTACAGCACCTTCGCATCTCTGGCAGCCGACATCACGCGCGACATGAAGCCGTTTCTGGCCCCCCATTCCATCTCCAAAGGACAGATATACACGGCCCAAGCCCCAGACGAACTGTTTGACTTGTATACGGGCGTTCAGAACATTCTGCAGTACAAGGAGCGCCTCCTGGACTGGGTCAACTTTAATCCGTCGACAAACGACATCCTTCGGCTCGATATGTGCGAATGCCAGCGAATGTTCAAGTGCCCCAACGGCACCGTGAGCCCCGTGGGGTCGGACAACTTATTTGACTGTGTCAAAGCTGGCGTTGTGTTGCGGCGGCGGGACCTTGTCCCATCGGGCCATGCCCGTCAAGTGAACGGTAAAGTTCTGTCATGTGTATGTATGTATATAAATGGACCCGTCGACTTGGTAGGTTCGGACTTTACGTTTCTGTCGGGCACGGGTGCCCCCGTGAGCCACATCGTGCTGGATCCGCTGGAAGTGGCCATCGTCACAATCAATGCGACACAGTTGGAGCGCAACATGACCTACGACGACCACTACCAGATCTCTATCTACAAAAACTGCAAGCCATGTCCACCTTTGTACCAGTGCAACTTTTACATGGACCCTGTCGGGTGTACGTACCCGTTCAACGACAACAGCACCGGACAAACCATGTACGACTCGTGCATGTCCATGTATCACGGTGACTCGGCCATCTGCGACGCCAACGCTTTGTTCTGCGAGACCCGCGGCCGTGTGCGCCCGGACGGGTCGGTTGTGCCCGTTCCCGGCTGCTGCTCGTGCGAACGCCTCGACATGCCCGTGTTCTTTGACGCGAACCGCCCCGTGCTCGGGTTTCCAGACGATAAGCACGGTATGATTCAGTTTACCATCTCGGCCGTGGCGCAGACCGAGCTCACGATCGTCGTCGAGTTGCTGCACGGGTTATACTACAACGGTTTCGAGGCTACGTTCGTCCCGACCAACGTCGACGTGTCCATCTTCACGCCGTCCCGCGCACGGTACACGCCCGAAGTGCCAACGACCGACTCGTTCTTCAGCGTACTCGTGCAGGACGACTTTGACGCGATGGCGCTGCCGCTCAACCTGCCCATGTCCAAGGTCCGGACCCCCAAGGAGATGACGTTCCAGTCACACATGGAGCGGTCTGTATTCATCGATCGCGTGTCCGACATTCTCGTGGGGGACCCGTCGTTCGCCGGGCGGCACGGCTTGACGCGGCTGTCACATGCACAGGCGATGCTAGGCGCGACCATCTCCAACGACTCGCAGCTCCTCTGGAACGACTTTCTCGGTCTCGACCTGGTTCCGGACGGTGTGGGGGACGTGGCCTTCTCGGACGCGTGGTGGCTCAAGGCCCAGCCGAACGGCCTCACGTACTTGGCCATGCCGTACTTGCCCTTCTTCAGCGCGTGCGCCGGGTATGACTCGCACATGTCGATAGCCAAGCTGCTCGAATCGCACCCAGACTGCGACTTTGTCGAGTACAACGCCACCCATGAAGTGGACGAACTCATCTGGCGCAAGATGACGGTGCCGCTGGCGGACGAGTGCTCGGTCTTCAACCTTAACGGCATCGACCTACAGTGTGTGTTTGAGGAAAACTTAGCCGGGGGGTCCGACAAGCCGCGGTGGTACGAAGTGGACTCGGGCACGCCCTTGTTCCACCTGACAAAGTACCCCATCCCCGTCCACAACTTTATCGGCAACGACAGCGTCGCGTCGCCCATCTACTGGGGCCAAACCTCCACGTTTGACAACTTGATTGGCACCACGGACCTCATCACCGTCAGTGGTACGACATCTGGATTCTAGCTTTGTACTTATACTTTCTAACGTTCGGGTTTCAATTTGATTTGTGATAGTCGGGCCAGACAGCAACGGATACCCGCTGGTCGTGCCCCAAACAGTCACGCTCACGATTCATTATTACCAAATCCTCAAAGGATACAAGATCTTTGTGAATGCCCAAATCGACTTTGACGACCAGTGCGTCATCTCGAACGTCGACGCCGACGTCCTAAATGCCGCCGCAAATGGTACCTTGTTATCTGTAAAATACATGACTTCTTATTTCGTTGGTTCTTGTATAGACATTTACCCGTGTGAGAAGAACGTGGTCACGGGCGAAATTCTGTCCAAGGGGTACACGCTCAGCGTCATGTTTAGCGCGCTGCCGTGGATGGATCTGCTCAATCAGTTCCAGTTCTCGTTCCAAGTGTATGTGATGCTGTTTTCAATCATTGGCGCGGGGTCGGTCGTCCAAGGCGTACGTATGCAACTAACTATAGATAGAATCATACCACCACCACTCGAACGATGTCTCACATCGATTGTTGGACCTGACATGGGCACTCGTGTGTGTGTGTGCTGTAGTACTTTATCTACCTCATCAATCGGCTGTTTACAAAGATGCGGCACCCGCCGCCGTTCCGACTCGTGCAGTTCATCAAGGCCACGGCGCCCCAGCCGACGATGGGCATGGTCTACGTCACGCTGCCCACCGCCGCGTGCTCCATGCTTCTCTACACTTGGTGGAACGTCTTCAAGTCTTCGCACCCGGTTGTGAACCCCAATCTGTTTTCGTTCGAGCACATTTCCGGCGACTGGCTGTACATTAGCGCATTGGACGTGGCCCATATCAAGCTATTCAAGGCGGGAAGGCTTGGGACGTCGGTGGTGGCACTGGGGGTGTACATGCTGCTGCTGGGGGCCAAACTCATGCTGCCAGATCACATGGATCCGCAGAAAGAAGACAACATTATGAACCAGAACGCGCTGCAGATGGAACCCACCGATCCATTTGCATTGCGCGACATCCCCAGCGCCGGCAACGACAAAGAAGAAGACGAAGATGGGTACTGGAACCCACTGCTGTGGAAGCGCATGAACTTGCTGCTCGTGACGGCCATCACGGTGCTCACGCAGCTGTTTATTTGGGAGTTTTCGTACTCGTCGCTGTTCACGACCAACTGCTACCAGTTCCTCGTCGTGTACAAGATCCTTGAGCACTTGTACGACAGTTTCTTTGAAGCGTTCTTGGGGGATGCGTTCCTTACGCAGCCGGTGGCAGTGGTCGTCGCGGTCACGGAGGGGCTCATCACGATGGCGGCGCCCGACTTTTTCGGGTTCGTCATGAGTTTTATCATCATGCAGAGCATCATGATCATCGAGCGGCTGTTCTTTAACCCGTTCCTGGCGTACTGCACGGCTATGATGCCCAAGTGGAAGCGGCAGCTGCATCGCATGTTCCGCAAGAAGCGACGGCGAACGCGCGACCAAAAGGCGGCCGAGGAAGCCGAGTGGCGCAAGATCTGCCAGGACATCGAAGAAAAGGCCACGGGCATCGAAGCCATCATCGACGCGTACAACAATTACGCCGGTGAAACCGCGTCGCTGTTTCTGAACCCGCTTGTGATGGCGTTCATTTACGTGTTTGCCCGGGAGACGCAGATCCCGGCGCTGTACTCGATCTTGGAGACCGATTTAAGCTACTACATTCTGTTTTCAATGGTCACGTTGCCATTTGCAACCGTGCTGGACGTGGTGCTGTGGAACACGCAAGAGCTGATCCACGGGTGGAAAGCGTTCGAGTACGCGACGTACCAGCGCCACCGGTTCTCGATCCGCAAGGAGCGGTGGCAGATGAACATGAAAGTCAAGGACAAGTCGCTCGAAGAGGAGTTCCAGACCGTGGACGTGCTGTGCTTTTCGTCGCAGTACTACTTTCTCACGTTTCTGTACGCGTCTGGTGTGCTGTTTGTCATGTTTGGCGCGAGTATTTGGATCCGAAAGCAGTACAATCCCCTCGGCGACCGCCTCTTTGTCGTGATTGTGGTCATGGTGTTCGCTATGGGTGTGGCTGTGACCAACGTCTCGTTTTACATTGGCAACAAGCTGCGTATTTGGGTGCCCAGGGCGCTGCGGGGCACCATCGACGACGACATCGCAGCAAAACTGGCGCTCGGGGCCGGCCGCCAGGAAGACTTGGAGCTGGAACGCATGGAGATGCAAGCGCTCAACTCGGAGCGATTCCGCCATCGGTTTCTTGAGAAGAACCGGCCGTGGATTCTCCAGCACATGGTCGAGCTGTTCACGCCCCGAACGCTGCAACTGCCCGGACCTTTGAACGACGGCAAGCCGGCGGTCGAGTACGTCCGTGACATTTACAACGAGCTCATGAACATGGGCGAGGGCCGGCGACTCAAGGGCGACCGCAGCGACATCAGCTCAGACGACGAGGACGAGCTGTTCAAGCAACGCCGAAACTGGTCCAACGTGCCGGTGGAAGGCACGACCAAGGACCTGGCGCTGTTCTGGCTCGCCAAAGCCAGAAAACGGCGGCTGTTTGGCAAGTTTATCGGCGGGATCCTGCTCGGGAAGAAGGAAGACACGTGCAAAGTGTGCCAGAAACAAGAGGCCGGCGGGTACGTGATGAGCGTCGACATCGCCACACCCGACGGACTCGAACAAGACAAGCTCGGCCTCGACCGACTTATCAGGGGCTTCGAGGGCCAGTACGGCGACACCGAGGCCGACGCGGACCTGTGGAAAGCCTACTTTCGCCAGCACGCGACCTTTATCACGCTCTGCAACGTGTGCACGTCCGCGTTGGAGCAGAAACGCCTCGCGAGGCTGGTACAGCCCGTCGGGTACGATGGTTCTATCGATTTAGAAGGTTCAACTGCCAACTAATATGCTAATTCTTGGCTGCTGTGTAGCAAGCAAACCAAGACCCGCGCCGACGACTTGAGCTCGGACGAAGAGGACGGCGGGCAGGACATGGTGTTTGAGGCGATGGTTGTGAGCCGGACGTCGGTGGAAGGCCGCGCGATGAGCAAGTGGTTGCAGGCAGCGCGGAAGCGGCTCGGAGGGGTATTTCCGCGCGAGAATGCGCGGGTCGAAATGGAGGCGTACGCCGAGCGCATGCGAGCCAAGAAGGCACGCAAGACAAAGAAGAAGCGGCCAGACTCGGACGACGACGACCCGAGCGTGCACTGGAAGGTCAACTTGACCGAGGCATCGCGGGCGCTGCTGCTGCGCTGGGTGTGGCAGGCCCGCGAAGACCAGTACAAGGTGTTCCGCGAAAAGGGAATGAAGCTGCGGGCGACGGTCGCGGCGGTCGCGGCCAAGATGCACGAGGTGGACGACTGGTTTTTCAGCAAAGAGATGCGCGTGGAAGGTGTGACGCTCAAGTCGACGGCGGAGACGCTGACGGAGGACCAACTGGCGCTGGAGGATGACATTGACGTGAAGAAGCGCGCGATGGTGCAAGAGCTGGACGTGTATGTGAATGAGAAGCGCGCGGCCATGACCAAGGAGTCGGATCTGTTCAATAACATGGTCGAATCTGAGCGAGCGGCGCTCAAGACCAAGGTCACGGCGCGGGAAACCGAGCTGCTCGAAGAAAAGAAGCGGAAGGAAGTCGAGTTTCTCGAGATTCAAAAGCAAGCCAAGGCCGACAACGGCGGGCGTGTGCCACCCATGCTCCTGCAAGAGCACCGCGCGTACTTGGTCAAGATGGACGACGATCGGCGCAAGGAACGCGACGACGCCGAGGTGTTGGCAGGCGAGAAAGAGAATCAAAAGCAGGACGCGTTCAATCGGAAGCTTGCACTCAGCGAGGCCGGCATCATCAACCGGCAAGCGTTGACGGCGCATCGGCTCCTGGCGCTGCGGAAGGACATGATGAACACTTTGCGCATGCAGGAGAAAAGCTGGCAGAACAAGGCCAGCGGGTGGCTCGAGAAGGCCACGCGGAAGGTGGCCGTGAAGGAGCAGGAGGACGCCGAGAACGCGCTCGCGATGAAAAAGCGCAAAAAGGTGTAACCGTTGAATTTGTACATTGTATTTAGGGTTTTTAACCCTAAATAAAAGATGCTAAATATGGGGTATTTGATCTAATTACCCTAAATATATATATTATGTTGTGGGGGGTTTGGATTTATCGCGCTGTTGCCTTCGAGATTTTTCACAAGCGAAGACATGAGTGACCGCTTTGAGATTCTCGAGGAGACGTCCCACGTGCCCGAGAAGGCAGCGAAGGAAGTCGAGCCTAACGACGATGTCCATGACTTGAATGAGCTGATGGACGAGTTGAGTGTGGAGACGAAGGATGTGAAGAAGGCGTCTGAGGCGAAGGAACAAGGCAACGAGTACGTGTACGAAGCCATCGCATGCGAGTTCACATGCGCGGTTGTTTGGTGTAGGTTCTTCAAAGCAGGTCGATACTTGGATGCCTACGACTTGTACTCAAAGGCCCTTCGCCTCTGTCCATTAGAAGACGAATATGCGTACAACAAGGTACAGTCCGTTTCTCATGATCGTCACAACTCGGAGCAACGTCCCTACATGACCGCAATAGGCCGTGTACTTTAGCAACCGTGCGGCGTGTCTTCTCCACTTGGTACGTCACCACCACCGTCATCCACGTCTTGCCTTCCTCACGCTGTTTCATCATGTAGGGCCGGCCTGAGGAATCAATCGAAGACTGCACCATGGCCATCACAAGTTCCCCCAAATATGTCAAGGTACAAACTACCTCCAAACCAGCGACACATATGACGTCATCATTTGCCTAGGCGTACATGCGCCGCTCTCAAGCGTACGAGAAGTTGGACAAGATGGACGAAGCGCTCCAAGGTTTCTGCATCTCTCTCGCTTCTCCATACCACTGGACTCATCATGATATGTATGTAGATGTCAAGGCGGTGCTCGAGATCGACGCCACAATCCCATCCGCCATCGACGCAGAGAAGCGTCTGTCGGCGGTGGTGGCGGAGCGACAGGAGAAGATGAAGGCGGAGATGCTGGACAAGCTCAAGGGCTTTGGCAACACGATCTTGGGCAAGTTTGGCCTGAGCACGGACAACTTCCAGATGGTCCAAGACCCCACGACCGGGTCGTACAACATCAACTTTTCACAAACGAAAAAGCCTTAAAGAAGCGTGTTATAATACCGGTCTCCATAGTCGCCCAAGCCTGGTACGATGTACTTGTACTCGTTCAGATCTGGATCCAAAGCGCTCGTGATGATCTTGATATGGGGGAATTCCTCGAACACGGCGTGGATGCCATGGGGGCACGCCACGACATTCGCAAACACAATGTTCTGCTCTTCCACGCCCGCATTGATCAATGTCTAAAAGGGATTCGTGGCCATTGGATAACAAGGAATTCGTGGCCATTTGGAAGGAATTCGTGGCCATTTGGAAGGAATTCGTGGCCATTTGGAAGGAATTCGTGGCCATTTGGACAGTGGTTGGTATGTACCTGAATCGCGAGCTTGGCACTTCCGCCTGTCGCCAACATGGGGTCCACCAGCAGCACGCGCCCATACCCGGCAATCCGCGGCGGGAGCTTGGAGTAGAACAAGATGGGCGACTTTTCAATCGTGTTTTCGTTTCGCTGGATGAGGATTTTGCCTTCGATATGATAAGCCAAGAACAGATGACGAGTGAGCGAGCGAGTGACGTACCCACGGCGATGCTCGGCACGCAATGCAGCACTGCATCAAGCAAAGCATCTCCCGCTCGAATTATGGACACCGCGCACACATTGTTGGTAGGCACCATGCCAGAGTACTCGGCGCCGGTGGGCGTCCACACCGTCGCGTACTCCATGGCGCAGGACGCCAGGGATTCCTCTGCCAAGATGCTACATGGGAAGCGTTAGAAAAGGAGAAGGAGTCGCTTCTATCAACCGCATGAGCCGGTCGGCAAAGTGCTTGAACTGCGCGTGCGGCGTGCGGCGATCGCGCAGCATGAGATGGAGCGACTTGAGCGACTTCATGTTGAGCACTTCGAGACGGGAGTACTGCGCCTCCAACGCAGATGTCGTGGTGCGCGCGCGCTTTTCCTTGGCCTTCTTGCCGCCCCATGGCGCAGTCCGGGTTGCTTCCTTCGCCGCGACCTCTTCCGCAGTCGGCTTGATGCCGAGCTTGTACTCCTTTTCGACACGAATGATGCGGCCACAACCCACATGCAGGAGCTGACGTATCTCATTCTGCGAAAAGTCCTTCATCAACAGGTCTTTGATCATCTCGTCCGCAACGACAAACTCGGGGTCCTTGATGCTGCGACTGAGCGCGTTGAACTTCTCCGAATACTCATTCGCGATGTCCTCGCTCCCGAGCTTCTGCACCGCGCGCCGCCGCGCATTCTCGTTCTTCCCCGTCTGATCTAAGCGGTACTTGGTCGACTTGATCGAGTCCGAGTCGTCGTCCAACAGGTCATGGTCGTCGTGGGTATTCATGGCGGCGCCCCAGAGCTCCTTTCACTGATTGGTTTACGCAGCAAGAAACCTCTTTCTATTTATGTTTAACGTCAAGTACTCTTTTTCGCAGGTAATTTGCACACAAGGTTGGGTGCTGACATGCATCGAGCGTGTGGTAGTGGTGGTCACGGAGGTGGTACTGGCGTGGTCGCTGCCGATGTCGCCGCGCTGTCCGGGGAAGGCGGCGGTGTCGTCTCTCGGTTCTGTGACGAATTAGGTTCGTGAATGGGCTCCATGGTTTCCTGTCGAATGACGGCTTGGTGCGTCACGACCACGTCTTCGGGCTTGATCAGCGTCGACGTGTCGTCGGCCTTCTTGTGTAGACTGCTAAACCTCCTCGCGGCAATCGCCACCACCACACTCGTCTACCTCTTTACATGAGTACGCATCATCGCACAAGTCATTTGCATGCAACAACGGACATACCCGGAACCGCGCGTGCATGCTTCGCACATACACGTTGAGGCCTCCGCGCAACGAACACTGGAGAGGCAGGGTCGGCGCCGATTCATGTGCAAACCATGGATGCTGCAGCGCTTCCTTCGCCGACAACCGCTTCGTCGGGTCTCGACACAGCAGGCGTCGGATCAAGTCCTTAGCGTCCGCGGACACATCGCCCCATCCCATGGTCTCGAGGTTCACCATCTGAAACGTCAGAATACCGGCTACGATGGCTCTAGGGTACAGTAGTAAAGTGATGGTCGTAAGAGTTCACCATTAGACCTTTACGTACTCCTTGCTGTACCGGCCATTGGGGTCGAACGGGTGCATGGCGGACAGCATAATGTACAGGATGACGCCGACACTCCACATGTCGCGCTTGGAGTTCGCGGCGTAAGGCGCGTCGTCGTCCGCCGCCCCAAGCACTTCAGGTGCGCAGTACGCCCACGTGAGGCCATCTTTGTCCACGAGGCGCTTGGCCTGCAGAGCATCCCGTGGTCATCAACAACAGATTGGTTTGGAACTGTACCGATATGATAGCTGACATGCTGAAGTCCGCGAGCTTCACGCGCGCCTTCTGCGCATGCTTGGATGTGACCAGCAGGTTTTCTGGCTTCAGATCGCCGTGGACGATGCCTTGGTTGTGCAGAAACTCCAACGCCAGCAGCGTATCGCGAGTGAATTTCCGAGCGATTTCTTCCGAGTACGCCCCATCCTATACCCGACTGTGAGAACTTCAAGTGCACATTGCACTTTGCATACTCGAATGAGGAGCTGGAAAAGTTCACCACCGCTCGCGTATTCCATGACCACGCACACAAACTCGTCCTAGACGCAGGTGTAACTAAGGATGAAGGATGTATGGGATCCATACCGTCTCGTACGTTCCTTTGAGCTCAATCACGTTCGGATGGACGTCCAGCATCTTCATGACGGACACTTCATGCTGCCACTCGTGTCGGGCCGCGTCCTTGACGATCATTTTGATGGCCACGACGTCCCCCGACGCCTTGTGTTTGGCCCGGAACACCTTGGAGTGCGAACCCTTGCCAATGTACGCGTTGCCTTCGAACACAAAGGCCGTCTCGGACATCACCGCGCCATGGCCACTGCAACACAGTCCCATGAGCTGCGTGCTAAAATCCACCTGTTACGACCGTTTCATCGACGGTTTCACATTTATGGATTTGATGCATTTGATTGGTGGAAAGTACCATGGTTATTCAGTGCAAGGACCGACATTCTGACACCGCAAGTTCCCATTCTCCCGATTTGACATTAGCGCATCATGGGGCTCTTCGAAATGATTCCGTCGCTGGTAGACTGGGCGTGGACGTTTGTACAGCCAGAGTACGAGCTCTTACGACTGGCCAAGAAAGGAGATCATGCTGCGGTGGCCGCATACCTCCTGCAACACTCGACGGAACAAGTCCAAGCAGCTGCCAACTACATCGACGCCGCTGGCCGGTCGCCCCTTGTCGTGGTGTGCCGCGAAGGACATGTGGAATGTCTTCATATGATGCTGCAACACCCTATATTTCACGCGATGTTTCCCGCATATGCAGATGGAAATGGGAATACCCTTCTCCATCATGCATGTTTCCAAGGCCAAGCCGAAGTTGTCCGGTACCTCCTCCAACAAAGCGTTGCCGCGTGTCGGTTGAACCACAGATTGCAATCCCCCCTCGATGCCGCAAGAACTCGTTTCCATGACGAAGAGTTCGCTCCAAGTCGATTCCTTACCTGCATCGACATGCTTGAACAGGTACGGTGACGTTACTACTGTACCTTCTCCATCCATCCACCCATCATCGTTCTCCGAACGTTGGTGTTCTAGCGATGCACGATCTTTGAAGGGTGGCTCTACGAAAGCACTGACAACTTTGCCTCCAACATACTCGGGGTCAGCTCGCTCCAGTCTTGGAAGCGGCGGTGCGTGCGTCCCTTGATCTGCAAGCCGTCGCTTGACCTTCCATGGATCCCATTAGGTACTGCGTCGTTCTCGAGACCGCGCTTCCTTCGTACGTCGAAATGGTGTTTTATGGCTTCACCGCGCAAAAAGGACACCCGTCCGAGTGGACGCGGTCGTTTACCCCCACGTACGACACTGCCACCTACTTTTATTTATTTCATTTATTATTTTCATTTATTATTATTTATTTCATTTATTATTTATTCGCATGTATTCTAAAATTCTAGGTCGCTTGTACTCGCGCGCATCGACGACGACATTGCGTTCAACAGCAAGCAAAAGATCTTCAACAGCAAGCAGTTTGCATTCTCCCTTCCATGCCGCAAGAAGGCCGTCGCCGCGCCCGTCACGGACGTCCACGGCTTCAACGCGTTGGCGTCCATGGAATTTGCCGCCGTGGACGCCGACGGCTACGACTCATGGAGCCACTTTTTCGTGGTGGGGGCGGTACGTTGTGATCATCTGTAACCCTTAGCTTCTGTAGCTAATTTACGATCTAGCATCGTCATAACTCACCTGGGCGATCCTTGGCGCTTCGCCCGCCGCCGCATGAGGCCGTTGCACTTGCCGCGCCCAGCGCCCCGTCCATGGAATCGATTCATTTTGAAGAAGTGGTCAAGCCGGCAGTGGCGCCGCCGCCGCCGTCGGGGGACGAGTGCGTCGTGTGCTTTGACGGACCCATCGAAGCCGTCTGCGTGCCGTGCGGTCATCACGTCATGTGCATGGACTGTGCCAACGCGGTCATGGGCGCGGGCGGTGAGTGCCCCGTCTGCCGCGCCACCCTTTGCCAAGTGATCAAGTTGTTTCGCGCCTAATATTATTTCTAATACTACAATGAATAGTATATTACCATGTTAAGGATTTTATCGTAACGTTGTGCTATTGTATTGTCGATTTTTCGAAATTCGAGATCAATGACCAGAAGAACCAAATCAGCAGACAATCGATTGACGAATCAAAACACAGAACACGAATCAAGTAGCCAATCAATGATCGCAAGAAATCCATCGAAGGGTAAATCAGCACAAAAGTCCAAGTGGTGGGTAAAGGACGAAACACTACTATTTAATCTTACTATTAATAGTACTTTGTCACTGGGTCTGGACCACACCCCGATTTTTGCCCCAATAATATTTCGAAAATATATTTGGTTCCGAAGTAATTCGAAGGATTTGGTTGTCATGAATTGTAATATTTCGAAAATTATATTTGGTTCCGAAGTAATTCGAAGGATTTGGTTGTCAACTATTATTG